TTATATGGTGATTTAGAATGTACAACGATACCGTCCCGCAATAAGTCTTGCGTTTGCTCTTCGATTTTATCTTTTAACATAGGAGGATAACGATACTGTCTCACGTTAATAGGTATGTCATCTACAGTATCGATTTTATGCTCTAATACGTCTGTACAACCCATCTTATCTCCATCTAAATAATATAAGTCGTGGTTTTTAATTATGTGTTTCTCGAGGTGACTTTTACCCTCTTCATTTAAATGTTCTGTACGCAACGAATTCCAAATTCTCGAAATACGTTCTTTTATGTTATCCGACAATGTATGTATATTAAAAATTTGCGAAGTTTTAGGTTTTTTTGATTTTAATTTCCGTTTATTTTCTGTTTCGCGAGAACTATAAGACTCAGTGGAACTAGTAGAATTATAATTTTCGTATGAACTAGTAGGAATTGCATTTTTACACGAATTAATGAAATTATCATTGTCGTCGATATTGATTTTTTCATAAGAACTAGTAGAATGAATACTTTTACGCGAATTATTGTTTTTATTCGAATTTGAATTTTCATATGATTTAGTAGAATTTGAATTTTCATTAGATTTACTACAATTTTTCGATTCATATTTCATTTCATAAGGTTCAAGAAAAACTTCCGGTATAGCAATATCTACAATAACATCGGTGGAATTTATCACGTATAAATACGCCTTACCATTTTCATTTTTGACTAATGCTTCGCCGATAAAAATTTTATTCTTCTTCTTCTCGTCATTTACGAATAACCGTGGGACATACCCTGTATCTATCTCAGGATTAGCTACACGCACATACATTCCTGCCTTCGTGCGTGCCGGAATAGTAATTGTTTCTTCATGTACAAAATTAATTTTTTTACCTTTCCACATGAGACAATTTTTAGAATATAAAACATCTATATTATTATTAATTAAAAAGTCCGACCCTAAAATTCCTTCCCTTATTATGGGAAAGTCGTCCGATACTACATGGAATATTACTGGGACACCATGAAATGTAGTATTGATTTTTCCTAGTGTAGTGACATGTTCTGTCGTTATACCTTTTAATTTTATTATTTCGTCTTTATCGATCCACGCTTCTGAATTTAATGCACTTAATTTAATTAAATTTATTTCGCAACCGGTATCAATCATAATTATTACAGAATTTTTAAAACTAGGTGTGTCGATTCTTACCGTAGGAGCTTGACATTTTTGTTTTAATTCGATAGAGGCGACTGAAACAATTCTTCTAACGTTTCCGATTCTTCTATTATTTCCGATTCCGTATCCGCGTTTTGTATATGCAAAATTGGGCGTTCGTTTTGGGCTTCCCTCGATACGCCCGCTCGGGGGAGCGGTGGGAAGTTTCCCTGATACGTGTTTCTAGGATTTCGATTGATGTTTGGTACTTGCTGATCATCCGCGAATCTTACCGGTCCTTTATTTCGATTATTAAAATTATTCGAATTGCTAAAATTATTCGGATTATTTCGACTAAAATTATTTGATTGAAGATTTTCGCGTGAATAATTATTACGATTATAATTGTTTGAAGGTTGAGAGTTTCGATAATTTGGATTTTGAAAATTTGCGCGATTACAATTATCGGGTGATTGAAAATTCCGGTAATTTGGATTTTGAATATTTGAACGATTATAATTATTACTCTGTTGAAGTCTAGATTGATTAAAATTAGGATTTCGTTGATAATTTGGTTGATTCAGACGGTTATTCGAATTTTGTGCATTTAAATAATACGGTTGACGATTAAAAATTGCAGGATTTAAAGGTTGAAAATTTCCCGAATTATTTGGACGCTGATATCTAATATTGTTATTATATTGCCTTTTTTGGCATTCTTCAATAGTATGACCCGGATTTTTGCAATATCTACACATTTTATCATTGTATCGTGAGTTTAAATTTCTATTATTATTATTTTTTTGTGGGCAATTTGTTGTCAAATGTTCATTTTCGCGACAAAATTCGCATTTTAATGGTAGTTCTTGAATTACATTTATTTCTCTAGTATTTCGTGGGTTTCTGTCAAAGCTATACGCTTCCGTCGGTCGATTATATTTATGAGGCATTTTTCCACGTAACGCGTTTTTTGCTTCTAACTGTCTTTCGATGTGAATTGCTTCATGGGTCGTGTCCATAAAGTTTTTGTCTCTAGAAATTCTCTGTTCAATTTCCGGTTTTAAACCTCGAATTAATGAATTTTTAACTTCAATGTCGTATGCTTCTCTAAGTGCAGGAGGCATCTCTCTATTTTCCTGCGCTTTATAGGCGTCAAGAATTCTGTTGCCTAATTCGCGAGCACGATTTGTATAATTAACTGCGTTTTCATCATCTTTTTGAAAAATTCTACCTAGTTCGCCTAACAACTGAAGGTATGTTTTAGAAGGTGCGTATAAATTTTTCAAGAAAGTTATAAATTGTTCAACATTATCGAATCTTGTAGAAATAATAGTCCGTCGGGCCTGTCCGCGCAGTTTATTTCGTAAAATTCTAACTAAACTTAGCTCGTCCTCGGGGGGTATCATTGCTTTTGCTTCGCGACAACCTTCAATAAAATAAGAAATTGGAATATTTTGACCGTCAAAAATAGGTACTGCTTCAATAGCATATTTAATTGATACTGGAACGGCATATGGTCGTCTCGCGTCGGCGACTTGTTCGGGTGGATGCACGATTCGACCGTCTTCGTTAAGTAAAATTGGTGGAACTGGTGGATTTGGATTTGCTGGATCTTGTGGGATCCGTTGGTCATTATTTTGTCGACCGTTTTGACCGTCCATTTCGCGGTGTTGATTAAAAACTGTTGGAATTATTTGATCTTGGGTTTGGTTTACGTGTTCGGAAACTACTTGAATTTGATTTTCGCGTTCTGTATTTTCTAGATCTTGCAATTTTTCGTTGTCTAGGTCTATTAAATCCGAGCTCAAATCTTTAACTACGGTTTTATCTATTGGGTTTTCTGGGGGTCGAGTCTGAGGTAATATTGGAGTGCGATAAATTGAACTGCCTACAGGTGGAGGGGTTATAATAACTTTAGGGTTTAATATTCCTCTACCAGGAGATGGAGTATCCATACCAAAGAGATCGTCTCAGGCATTATTTTCTATCAAATCCCACTTCTGACACCAAAAATTTTATTTGTGTTACGTCCTGGGACGCCACAAATTTCTTCGACTGCTTGTTTGTACGGTCAGACAACTGAATGCCTTTACCCTGGGAGTGGCAGTCACACTTGTTGATAGATCTCTTTGATTTGGAACTTATTGATTAATTAACTCTACAAGGATGACCATCAGAACCGGTTGGAAAAAGGAAAAGAGGAGAAATGAAATATATCTTAAAAGAAATTAATAATTTACTTACGATTTAAATGTATTAATAGATGTTTTATTAGTAACTGATACACACAAGATGTTGTTACTGAGCGCGTCCCTATTGGGTCGTTACGGTTAGAATTGATCGATGAACTATGAGTTGACCTTGAAGTTGTTGGCGCAGCTAACTCGACGTTGATGAAGGTGTTGAACGTGGATGGCTCTCTGGAGTTCACTAAGTTGATTGTCAACCTCAATGCTTGGTTGAACAGCGATGGAGCTCGATTTTATTTGAACACCGTTTTTTGAATTTATATTTATTTTAGGAAAACTTCGGATGTACTGACTTAAACTGAACTGAATTGAAAAGAGGTTTCTCGAATTTATTTAAAATAATTAATAATCGTACTGTTGGAAGAGAGGTTCCTCGTTGATTAAATATTTAGAAATTCTTCTGACTGGTGACTGTGCTGACCGACAGAGGTTCACCGTTAATTAAAAGTGTTCTGGAGTAACTGCCGATAATTGACTGCTGACGGGCTGACTATTACTGCCGACTGCCCGTGGCGCTTGCCTTTTTATACTAATGCGAATGGATGAACTAAGCAGTGGCGCGATACCTTTGAACTAGGGTGGTGACCACCATCCCTTGTTTTCTTAGAATTCCGTGACTGTGTTGGTCTTCGTAGGTGTAGACTTTTAATATTGTAAATCTGTTGGATATTCCTTATTTTCATGTGATCCTGATTCTATGTCTGAGAATATTATTACAAGGCATAGGCTTGATAGCTGTGCGTCCTCCAGGTTTTTGGATTAGTGTTGAAGGCTTTCTGAGAATCCCGTTAGTGTATTTGGCTTGTATATGAGAGACCTTTAACACAATAGGTCTGCTGGACATAAACACGGTTAATACACATTGAATGACGAATATTCATTGGTTAATCCTTATAAGGGTATAAACTCGGTGTTTACGCTTCTTTTTCTCCTGGAGTCCTAATTCTCACGCGTGTGAATGCCTGGCGACGAGACGCACCCCTAGGTTTGGAGTGAACCGTCTGTGTTTTCTGTTCTCCTGTTCTTAAATGTTGCTTCGTTCGGTGTCTATTCCTTCATTGGCACTCCTCAATCGATATCATGTCCTCTTCTTCTTTTATTTCATTATATCCTGATCCTTCTAGTCCAGTTGTCTTCCAGTAGAAATATTTTTTTATTATTTATTAAATTTACGAAAATTTCTAACCGTAACAGAGAGTTATTCGAATTAACTTCAAGACTATTTACATGTATATAATCGCGTATGCTACTCACATCGACTTACATTCTTATTAAAATTGATAGACTACGGTCATTTACAAAATACAATGCAAGTGTTTTGAACTACAACAAAACACGTATTATATTCCGGAGCCGATATACGGCATCCCTATGAGAGAAGCTGTTGTGTACTAGCCTTAAATATGGTGTCACCTATGCAGTTTTGTTGTAGTTAACCCGTCTCGTGCTGCCACCAGTCATAGTGTTGCCAGCACTGATCACCTAGTAGGCGGTTTCACCCGCGTCTTGTGTCATAGCATCTCTCATCCAGTAAGAGCTACACCGGGATGCCGTGTATCGGCTCCGGAATATAATACGTGTTTTGTTGTAGTTCAAAACACTTGCATTACATTCCTCTAGGCCGATACACGGCATCCCTATGAGAGATTTGTTTGCTACCTACTGGTGATCTCCTCAACGCTATGTGATGCTGGAGACAGCTTCTTGGATCAATGTTGATGTTAATGTTACGCCTGAAATATGAATGATAGGAAGTTTCCAAATGATTAACCTCTTCCTTTACTATTGACTTTTTTTTTTTTTTTTTTATTGAAAGTTCCATGTTAAAGAATACAGAAAATGATTATATGATATGATGTGGATTAAATAAGCGATAAACTTGTTTCACAAAGTAAATACATCCCTTAAACGATAAGATACTCTAGTCTTTGGAAGTCACTCTTTAAGTACTTACATAATTGCCCTTAGGAACCTGTCCTTCCTATCGGGTTGAAGTTGTTGAACAGAAGACCTTGGGACCCTTGGCCTTGTCTTTCTATCTGCTTACAGTAATGGTTCCTGAATGTCTCTAAACTCCTCCAGTTACCTCTTTCCAAAATCTCCTGGATTGGCAAATTATCAAGCCAACCTCTGAAAGCCACTGCTGCTCGTACCGAGCCAGGTGAAGCATCGATGTTTGCCTCTTTTAGGACCGAGCGGATCCAGCCCGCAATGATTGTCCTCGAAGCCGGTTTTACTGGACCAGTGACCGTGATGAATAACTCTTCCAAGTTCTGGGAAGATCTTCGCTTCTCTGATAGCTTGATCAGGGCTCTAACCCATGTAACTGGGCAGATCCTTATGTTCTCGTGTTTAGACAGTCTCCAGCCTGACTGTCTAAATTCGGCTCTATCCGTCTTGGAGCCAAAGCTCGGCCATAAGATGATCTCGTTGCCTAGATTATCCAGCGATTCTTTAGAAATTTTTAGTAACGTTAAGTCGTGAACTCTTCTACCTGAAGCCAGCAACAGTATCGTAGCTGTTCTCCTGGACACCTCAAAGAAGGATAAATTCGGTAGGTCTAATTTTAGCCAATCCAACAGGATCTGTGCATCCCATATTGACGACCTTGTCTCCTTCGGCTTTGCCACTGAGATTGCTTTTAAAACCTGTTTAACTAGAAAATCTGACGATAGATCTCTTTTTGCACAAAATGTTGTTATTGCCGACTTATGGACCAGGATAGTGCTGTAGGCTATCTTCTCGTCTATAAAGAGGTGAGAAAGGAAACGAGCGAGATCCACACCCCTGGGTGCTACTGGATCCATCCCTTTCTCTCTGCACCAAGCTAGCCACTTCTTGATTGGGGTTTTGTAAGTGAGTAAGGTCGATGCTCGCCAACTCTCTCTCACCAAATCTTTTTCTTGTGATGACCAGTCCTTGGTCATTCTGCACCAGCCCCAATCTTCCACACCTGAAGGATCAATTGGTCCACCTTCTGCGGTGGCTTGCCTGTTGACAGATCCACTAGTACCTGTTCCAGGTTCTTGATTGTCACTGGCTGCTCCGAGCTTCGGCTGGCCAAGTCCGCCATCCAGAACGTCTGTTCCCACTTGGGTGCGACTATCAGGTACTAACCTCGACATCTGTTGAGGTGAGCTAGTACTCTCGGCAACAGGTTGGGTGGTGGAAAGACCCAAGCTAGGCTGTAGTCCCAGACTCGACTGAAGGCATCGATAAATCCGGCTGACTGATCCTTGCAGTCTCTTGAGACGTATGCTTTGACTACAGCAGACTCGGCGCTTGCAAATAAGTCTATTTCGGGAACTCCCCATTTCTGGAACACCTCTTGCGTTGCCTCTGGCCTTAAGTGCCATTCTGGTAGAATTCCGCCTCTGTATAGCCTGTCGGCTATACCATTGTATCTTCCTGGTAAGTAGTGAGCTGACAGAAGAATTTCCAACTCGTCTACCAGGTGTAATAGGTCGTAAGTCAGTTCTTATAGCCCCAGGGACCTCGTACCCCCTTCCTTTTGGATGTACGCCACTACAGTTCGATTGTCCGTCTGTAACAAGATATGAGTCTTGCGGAGTTGATGAGATTGTTGTTTTATTGCTAGGTATACTGCCAACAGTTCTTTTTTGTTGAAATGCCACGACCTTTGGCTTATTGTCCAGGTTCCGGACATGTGTACGCTGTTCAGTTGGGCTCCCCAACCACTGTCTGCTGCGTCGGTGGTCAAGAAGTGTGTAACCCTGCCCTTGTGTAACTGAGTCGCTTTCGAAGTGGCTTTGCACCACCAATCTAGCTCCTTCTGCACTTGGTCTTCGAACTGGCGTCTCTGACGCTGTCTGTTCCCGTTGAATTCCATCAGGAACCTCTGGAGGTGGCGACAGTGTAACCGACCTCTTGGTATCGCGAAGTTTGCGAAATTCAGGTGTCCTAGTAAGGATTGAACCTGAACGAGAGAGCTGCTCACCTTCGCACTTAATTCCCAAGCCAATCTGATTATTGTCTTGGCCTTCTTGTCTGGAAGACTGATTTGGCCCCTCCTGGTGTCCCAGGATATTCCGAGGAAGTCCAGTTTCTGGCAAGGAACTAGGACGCTCTTGCTTCGGTTCAATTGCCAACCTAGAGTTTCGAGTAATTTTACCGTCATGGCTACCTGAGATTTTAGGTCCTCCTGATTTTGAGCTACAATCAGGAAATCGTCCAGGTAGACCACGACTCTTACGCCTCTGGAACGAAGGATTTCGGCTATCCAGTTCGTTATCATCAAGAACGTATACGGCGCAGCTGAGAGGCCAAAGGGCAAGCTCGTCAGCTGTAGCAGTACATCCTCGTAGAGGATTCTTAAAAAGCAGCGATGTGCTTCCGCCACAGCTATATGCAGGTATGCTTGTGACAAGTCTATTCTCGTCATCCAGTCCCCGTCCTGGAGAAAGTCTGGAATCTTTGTGTGAGAGAATAATTGGAATGACTTGACTTCCACGTACCTGTTTAAATTCTGGAGATCGAATATAGGGCGTATCCCCCCATCCGATTTCTTTATAAGAAACATCCTTGAAATGAAACTCGAACCTGGGTGTTCCGGTTGCTCTAATACCCTCTGGTCTATCAATAGTCTTATCTGATCCGACAGCTGAGGGGTGCTTTTCGTCTTGAAGATTGATGATTTCCAATTGCTTGTAAGAACTGGTTTCTCTGTAAATGGGATGCGGGAACCTGTAATTATATCTAGAATTTCTTCTGGGGCTCCTAGCTTTTTCCACTCGTTGTGAAACTTGGCAAGCTGGCCTCCTGAGAACTGTGTTACCTCCGTATAGTCATGAGTTATTTTTCTTACGAAAGGAATAAGAGCCCTTGGATTTAGGGGTCTCTTTCTTCCAATTCTTTGGCCTCGATGTCTGAAACTGAGATTCTGACTTACTTACTGTGCTCTGAGCTGGTCTTGATAGAGGATGGGACTGGCGAGTCGCTGAATGGGACTGATTCTCGCTCTTTCTTTGATGTATGAACCTTGATCCTGACTGACCCGGGTTCCTTAACCAAGACTGAGGACCCCCTAGAGATTGTATTAAAGAACCTAATCTTTCCTTACCAAAAAGGTACTCCGTGCTGGGTGGAATGTTCCTCAAGGCTACTTGGATCTGCTTGTTCGGAGCTTCCGATATTAATCTTTCCCTTCTAGCTTCTATGCATGAAGCTCTTTTACCACAAACTACCTGTAACATCTCGGAATTCTTGAAATATTCTGAATTAGGACCAAAATTTGCTGAAAAAAGTTCATGCATTGTCTCTGGATTAACATTCTCCCTGTTTGAGAATGTCCAGTTAACAATACCTTGGAGAGTATCCTTCAGAAGTCGGTTTTGTTCCAAAATTGCATTTGACAGGCCCGCCAAGGCTCTTTCCGTTGAAAAGTTAGGGTCCTTACTCTTATCCAGATAACATAGCTTCTCATTGACCTTCAGATCTGTGAAGCCTGGAGAAGCTAAAAATTCTTTTAAAGTATTTCCGTACCTGAGTTCTTTCCAATTTTCTGAACCAAATTTTTGAAGTTCAGATATTAATTTCAACTTTTCTGGACAGGCTTCCCGTAAAACCTTCCGGCTATCCACCTCTGTCTTGCACTGACCTAGGTCCAATACCTTGGACGGCTCGATAGGAGTTGTGAGGAATTCCGTCTGAGTCACTTCCGGGTCTGCTATGCCTGGAACGTGATGCTGTGTACCCTCAGGAGTCTCGAAAGAATGGCCAGGTGTTTTCTGAAATGTATGTTGAGTGTTACCAAGAATTTGATTAGATAAAAAGGCAACCTGTTCTTCAAGATTCTTTAGATTCGATCTATAAGTCTCGAAACGTCTTTTCTTATGTGGTGGCGGAGTGACCTTTCTCTCGCTCTCGCTAGAATCTGCGTGCCGGATGCTTTTTACCGAATGATGCTCTCCCGAGCCATCTGAATTCCTTCGCGAACTCATATTATTAATCAGTGCTCTTCGTCACCTTTTTGAGCCCGATATAACTTAATTAGTGCGTGAAAAGGATTTGTTTTACGTATGAAAATTTTTCATGCGACACAATATGGCTGAAAGTACTCAACGCTATGACACAAGACGCGGGTGAAACCGCCTACTAGGTGATCAGTGTTGGCAACACTATGACTGGTGGCAGCACGAGACGGGTTAACTACAACAAAACTGCATAGGTGACACCATATTTAAGGCTAGTACACAACAGCTTCTCTCATAGGGATGCCGTGTATCGGCCTAGAGGAATGTAATACACGAACTGCATGATTTGGCAAGTATAACCGTCCATCCAGCCATTTTTTTCATTTGATAAAAAACATCGACGTTGCTTCAAAATTGGAGTCAAATAATTAATATATCTACGATGAAGGTATTTATGTTGTTGAGAGATAAAAAAAAGCGATTTTGTGTTCATAAAAGACGGCATGTTTCTGTGGAAAATCGGCGAGACACTGTTTGTCATAAAAAAATAAAAATAATTTGCAAACACGGTATGTATTTCGGTTATTTACATTTACAAGAAAAAAACTAAACAATTCCAAAGTTATCATTATGCTATAATTTTTAAGTACCTTAAGTTACTGAATAATAATAAATAGAAAATTTTATAGATGATGAAATACAAAAATTCGAAGAGTGTTAGAATTGGATTGTTTAAATTTTTGAAGTATTTTTATACTTGGTAATAACTCAATAGTAGTTAAATTAATGTCATATAATAGCTACTAAGCACAATAATTGTGCTTACATTTAAATTTATAGATTATAACCATAACTTTTCGCTATTCGTGATTATTATTATTATACTTTTGTAAAATTTTTACAGCTGATCGTTCTATTTTAAATGACGTATGCAATAAATTAAATTCCAATACTCCTAAAATCATGATACCCAGAATTATCCTAGATAAAACTCCAAAATCTGTTCCTCATGTCCTACTCAACAATCATGAGGGTAAGTATACTTCTTTTGCCATGCTTCATTCATACAAAAAATAATATGAAAATACGAGTTCAAAAAAATGTGTTCTTTTTTATTGTCAATATTCACAAATTGTTTGAGTAAAACTATTGTTAAAATATCTGTCAGATGGGGCATTTTTTCGTACCATTGAGATTGTTCGTTTCATTAATGTGTTTTATTTTTTTAATCTAAGTGATAATATTTGATAATATTTGAGTACAAAATCGCGATTTACAATCTATTCCTTACTTTTTTACGGAAAATAATTGGTTAGTTTTTTTAAATGACTCGTTAATCACACAAATATAGTTAATTAAGGCTTTTAACTTGACGAAGTTAAAACGGTTATTGAAAATTAATGATAATTGAAATCGTAATCTTTTTTTTGGTAATACCATAGGTAATCGAACAATTGATCCGATTGGGTGGACTATGACACGTAAAAACAAACCCATTTTGAAATACACCGTAGAAAAATGTTTCATCGATTTCAAAAAAGTGAAAAATATCTGGCTGTCAGATGCTAAAAGTGGTAAGTTTGTATCTAAAGAGGACAATTATAGATTTACACTGTCATGTCTATTATTTATGGCAAATAATTTACCAGTTAGACTTCTAAACTATAAATTTTATGGTGGAAAAGCAATTTACTTTTTAAAGTTGATTCACTTTATTTAGGTTTATAATTTTAATTGACTCAGACAAATCATGTATTATGTGATAAAAAAATTTTTTTGATATTTTTCAACAATATAAATAAGAAGATTATATCATATCAATAATTATTTAGCAACTTTATCAGACAGTTGATTAGTAAATATTACTTATACAGTATTGATACCTTGTTTTCATCAATTTTTTTCTATATTGTAATTTTTTTCTTAATAAATTACTTAAAAAACTATAATTATTATCAGCAAATTATTGTAAGTTCAAATCAAGTAAAGTTTTATTTGTACCTGAATTAATTGATTTCAGACTTGAAAAATGTCCACTCTGACAAAGATTTTGAAAGTATGGTTGTTGATTCGAACGGGTTTGAAAAATCTCTAAACTCATATGAAATTACTGAATCCGCGTGCCAATCACATCAAGAAGTAAATCAGTTTGATGAATTTTCATGTTCGAACGCTTTTGACATCGGCCAAGAGATGATTATTGGTAGTGAAAATTTACAGGAACCTTTTGACAATAATACAATATCTGAGGAGCAAGAAAATATTGAGAATGAACATGAATTTGAGCAAAATAGTGTTATTGACACAGTTGCAGTTCAGACGAAGCGTGATAATTGTCAAAGTACGATAAATTTATGTGAAATTGATCAAAAAAGAAATACTGCGAGACGACATGTTAGAAATGTACAATTTGAAGACGGTAAGTTTTAGGAATTTGATTAAGTTATTCGAAGTTTAATGAAACCAAATAATCAAAAATTTTTTTTCATTAAAATTGAAAAATAATATTATGTCATACGAATAGACTGTAAAACATAAAAACTGATTAAATTATTCTATTTCTCTAGATTCTGATAGTGAAAGTAAAGATTCGGGTTCGTCGTATCAACCAACAGATTCAGAGGAGTCTATCGACGAGGAAGATTGCTTAGTCGAAGAGGTGACTGATGACGAAAATTCTGGCAGTAGGATCAGTGGAACAGGCATTGCTAATGAAAGTAATATTTCACAAAATACGTCTACATCGACTTTGAATTGTTCGCTTAATGTCTCCGGTCATGCCGGTTGGGATGATGACGACGTAAAAGCTGAATTAAGTAATAAACAAGGAAACTCGAAGAAAGATAGTTGTTGTTTTTGTGAAAAAGAATATTTTAAGATTGCTCGGCACTGAGGTACAAAGTTTTATTAATTTAAAAAGAGGCAGTAGTGACAGAAAAGACAAAATAGCTATTTTGAGAAAGAAAGGAAATCATATATTTAACATGAAACAGCGGAAAAAAGAAGATGGTACACCTGGTTTACTCAAAGTAGTACGTTGCCCGAATAATACTTCAAAGTAAGGAGGTGGTAATTTTGCTGTTTGTTTTAAATGTAAGGGTTGGTACAAGAAAAACAATTTACGCCATCATTACCGTGATTTTCAAGATGGTGCTACGAGTAGTAAGGGTATACTTACAAAAGCTCGACGAATACAAGGAAAAATTCATGAACGGGCGTCTAAACCAATGCGTCATAAAATTTTACCGTACATGAAGTTAACAGAACACGTAAAATTAATTAGATACGACCTTTTGATAATATTATTCGGAAACGAAGAATGTACAAAATACAGAAAGCGTAATTTAGCACAGATGATTCGTGCAAAATTGAGCTTAATAGCTCGTTTTCTTCTTTTTATCAAAAAAATAGAAGTTTCTATTACTGATTTTGCTTCAATTTATGACCCCAAGCATTATTATAAGGTTATTGACGCTATTCATCAGTTTGCAGAGCTTGATGAAGAGACAGGTTATTATAAAATACCTTACAGAGCATCAGAATTAACCACAAATATTAATAAAAGGGGACTTATTTTGATAAATGAGTGTATTATTAATGATGATCTTGAGAAAAAATCAAAAGTTGAAAATTTCTTATCTTTGTGCAAACAAGGATTTGCTAATGTTGTTAATCGAATGGTTGAAGAAACACGAATTATGCTACAGCGTAAAAAAGAAACAGAGCTCCCTTTAATTGCTGACATTAATCGTTTTTCTAAATTTTTAGATAACAGGATCGATGAAAATATTGAAGTTTTATCCGAAAAATTTTTGAGGAGGGCGTGGCGTGACCTTGCTGAAGCATGTCTTATTCAATTACAATTATTTAATAGAAAACGAGCAGGAGAAATGGATAGATTTGAGTTAGACGATTATAATAAAATGAAATTCATCACAGAAAAAGAAGAAGGGTACAGATCATTATCAAAAGAGGAAAAACAAAAAGCAAAAGAGTATGGACATACGGTTATTCAAGGAAAGCTTTACAAAAGCGTACCTTTACTATTGAGCGCAAAGGTTCGTGATGGAATCAATGTTGTTATTAAATATCGGAAAGAAGCTCATATTTCATCTAAGAATCCTTTCGTCTTTGGTATTTCTGGGTACTATAAAGATGCTCATTTATGTGCTAGTAACGTTATGAGGAAGTTATCCGAGTTGTGTGGTGCAAAGAAGCCTGAGTTGCTTCGAGGGACACCGCTTCGAAAGCAAATGGCCACAAAATGCTCTGAAATGCAACTAGATTTGACACAAACGTCGACTATCTTGGACATGATGTACTTGTCCACAAGAAAGTATACCAGCAACGTGCTAAAACTGATATTTTGAAAATGTCAACGATATTACTGAAAGCTCAGGATCCAAATGATTCGCGTAATGATTCGCAAGGCTCAATTGAAATGAATTCTATGAATAACTAAACAGATATCTCTGTCAATGCAGGTAATTCATATTTTTTCATCCAAATAATTAGATATACTACGAAAAATGTATGCAATTTTCAAAATAGATAATTTAAATTGATTTAAATGTTTTTTTTTTAGTGTTTTACAAACAAAAATTATCAGTTTCTATAAATACTTATACGAATTCGGAATTATTCTGCCTTTTTTTTTTTAAATAATTAATTGAACTCAAAATTTGTAAAAACAATTTTTCTGGTTTTATCGCTGACACTTTCACAATATTTATTTATTGAAATCTTTCACTTAGACAGAACGCAATACGTATTGGCATGAGCTTATGCTTGATTTAAATAAGTTGTAATTTTATTTTGAATCTGTAATTATACATAACTTATCACCATTGTGTCTTATTTCTAATTTCTAACTCAATAGTAAATGTTTGAATTACGATTGGTAGCTTACAATCTATGCACTAGATTCATTAACTTATTCTTAATTAATTTCAGGTACAGCTAGCTTCAATAATTCCTCGGAAATGAACGAAATACAAGATGAAAATAATGTGTCTCTAGAAACCTCGGGTGATACTACATTAGTCAAACCATCACAATCTCGAACAAATCAGAAAAAAAAGCAAATTGATCATAATTTAATAATAATAGTTTCTTTATTTAGCTTTAAGCTACAAAATATATACAATATAAAAAATTATAAAAGATCTTTGATCTTTTATCACAGATCAACACTTGATTTCTGTCTACATTTTTTTTTTAAATTTTTCCTTCTCTTATTTCTTCCCTTAACAATTTTTTAAAAATTACTAAATTTCTTGCATTTTTTGTGCCAAAAAATGCAAGAAATTTAGTAATTTTTAAAAAATTGTTAAGGGAAGAAAATTATAAAAGATCTTTGATCTTTTATCACAGATCATCACTTGATTTCTGTCTACATTTTTTTTTTTAATTTTTCCTTCTCTTATTTCTTCCCTTCACAATTTTTTAAAAATTACTAAATTTCTTGCATTTTTTGTGCCTATATTTTACTTGTTAAATAATGAAAAACCATACATATTTATTGTTTTTTGAGCACTCACAGTTCTTGTTCTTTGTACCAACAATCTATTTTTGTATCTTGTACTATAATTATGTTCATTCTCAACAACAATTCTATTTAAATATTCTGGTAACAAGTTATTTTTCATCTTATATACAAACACACACACATTAAATTTAATTCTTTCTTCAACAGACAGAAAACATAGTGCATCTAGCATACATCTAATTGGCGTATATCTATTTACTCTTAATATTATTCTCATCGCTTTATTCTGACATTTTTGTAATTTTTTCACACATTCCTCATTAATATTAATCAAAATAGATGATTCTAAGAAAATAAGTTGCAAGCGCTGGAGTGAAGAAGAACACAATTCACTTCGTAAATATTTTGGTGAATATTTAAGAACCCAAACATATCCAACTTTGCCATTTATTAAGGAAGTTAAAGAAAAGTATAAAATCTTACCTAATCGGAATGAAGATGCCATTAAAACAAAATTAAGTAATATCTTTAAGAAATCAACTGGAAACATAAAAAAAACAATTCTAAATTGACACATAAGGTTGAAAAACTGAAAAACTCGGAAAGTGATCTAGTTAAGCAGCACAAAATGTATATATTTGATCCACACATCAAGAAGGGACTTTTACCTACAAAAAAAGAGTGTGTAGAAGCTAAAAGAGCAGACAAAGTACTGAAAAATGTTGAAGTTGATTTAATTCTCCGTACAATTCAAAAAAAAATAAATAAAACGCGATAAAATCGTTCAAGCATTGAAAGTGGTGGTATAAGTAACATACTATTTGAATTTTTTTTGTTTATTAATATTATAAATACTATATTAATACTATAAAATATTATACTATTATAAAATATTATACTATTATAAAATATTATACTATTATAAAATATTATACTATGTTTATTAATACTATAAAATTTACTTTATTTCGTTAATTACTATTATAATTTTATCAATCGTTTAAAAATCAATAAAAAATCATTATATGTTATTTATTTAATGATAATACAATTCTAAGTTATTATTATTTTAAGGTGAAAAGATTTGCCTAAATTACCTCATTTATTAAACAATTAATTATTACGAAATTAATTTCTGTTACTTCATTTTTATTCATTAGAAATTTTTAAACAATTCAAAATAAAATTCTCTATTTTATATGCATTAAAAAGCATGTTAATATGTTATATGTTAATCAGAAAGTTAATTCGGAACGTAAATAACTTCGCTGTTGAAAATCGTGCTAAGTCCAAATTCGTAAAATAATAAATAAGAATATTGAAAATATTGTACTTGAGAAAAAGATTTGAAACAACAAAAATTCCAATTAACACTATAATTTTTTTCCACAATCGAAACAAATTTTTTGTCGTGGTGTGTGTGATTGAAAACTGCAAACTTTTTCTTCTACTTATAGTCCTTTGTGTATATAATTACATCTAAATAAATACATGAAAATAGCCATCACGTATGAGAAAAAATTGAGATACTTAATAACATACGCCAAATACGTTCAAAAATCTTTTATCAACTGTTAAATCTTGAACGAAACTTTTTTCGATTATCGAAAAAAATCACAGTGGTACATGAAAATTTAGTCATTTTATATTTTTTTTTTCAGTATAAAATTTTGAATTTTCTATTTTGTTTTCATATGAACGTGAACTTGACGCGATTTTTTAGAGCAAAGATCTTTTTGTTCGGATTTTACGTTATCTTATAAAGTACGAATCTATTTGAAGAATACAAATTATAGTTTTTATTTTCAATTATCACATTAACATGGATTTGTCACAATTTTTCGCAGGAAAATTGTTTTTGTTTATGTCATTTGTACTTTACTACCTACTTTGACATGATTTTTGAAATAATAGATAATAATAACTCTTATAATTATAATAGGCTACACCAAGGTCAAAAACAAAAATTTAGCCGAACAAAACTCCTGTTAAAAAATTCTATAAAAATCCATAAAAATTCTATAATTCTATAATTTCATAAAAATTCTATAAAAATTATCAAATAAATCTTTTACGCTCAAAATTTGTCAGGGAATGCCTAGATTCCCAACTATATAGCCACTCATCACGAAATCTCGGGAACCATAAGACTTAGAAACGTGAAACTAGGTAGAAATATTACTTTTGTTATGTAAAGGTAAGCTAAGAACGTATTAAAAGAAATTTTTCCCCCAAAGGGTATTGCGACGGCGTTAAAAAATCAAAAATTCCCGTTTTTAAACTATAGCTCCTGTAGACTCCAAATTTAGCTAGAGGATTGCAGGGATGGGTGTTAGAATATTTAATTGCCATTCCCAAATTGTAACCTCTACAGACTCGGAATTTGGTAGGAATATTTTATTTATAATGTAGAAATCATCTCGAATAGGATTTAACGAAATTCCTCCCCCACATAGCAGTACGGGGGTGTTAATTATCAAAAAATTCATATTCTTCGAATTCAGTTCCTACAGATATAAAATTTGAAAGAATCTCAAAAGAAACAGGAAATTACTGAGATGGCCTCCAAGGTCAACCGTTTTGAATATTCTTCTTTCTTAATAATTGGATATCAGCTAAAAAAGAATTTCGTGATAATTGATTTCATATGTAGGTTATGTCAGAGTAGTGAATAGTATGTAAAAAAATGTTTTCGTTTATAAACTAGAACTTCTTGAGACATGAAACTTAGGACATATCTATTAAACTTCAATAAATTCAGTAAAAATTTCTTTACAACATTCGTCTCTTTAGCGGCAATGAAAAAGTCATTGTAGTTTTTTCATTACAATTTTACATTCATTTTACTGTCGCAGATCACATAACAGGTGAATTCTTTTATTGAGGGGATGCGCGGGAATGTAACAGATTAAAATGAGTTCATTTTCCAAGCACTTGAGATGTGGGAAAGGAATTTGGCTACTTATTTCAATAGAATTCATAAAAAACATGCTCACTAATTTTCTATAAAAAATTAAGGCCACGGAGAAAATTTGAGTTAACGGAAAATTCGTCGCATTTTAAGCTAGGAAGATTTCAATTTCACTTATGAGACCTGCAATTACTTCAATTGAAAGTCAATGCTTATTTCAAATTTTTTTTCTTCGTGATAATTTTAATTTTCATTTTTGTAAGAAAGCCACGGAAATGTTATAATGATTGTGCATTGAAAGTTACAATCAATATTAGCTAGAAAAATCACATAGATAAAAGGTACAGGCTAATTCGAGGGAATTCGGAATCTGTACAAGTCAAAACAATATCAATGCTAAACCTAACAGCTGTTGGTCGGGGGGGATTTACGCAGAGGAACTTTTTGTAGCAAATTTCATGCTATATAAAAGCTATACACGCGTTTTTTCCAAAAAAATTTTTTTCATGTCGTAAAATCAAGTTGAAACCGAAAAAAAAAAAATTTTTCCATGTTATTTAAATAGGAAATCGAATTTTTAAATGAGGTAAGTCGCTATTGCACATACAGCCTTTTACTCGGCTGCATAATTTTTTATTTTTTATAAAGTATCAGATTTTCAGGTAGCACAGAGAAAAAAAAATATCGCTCAAAAATGAAGCACCCTAGTACCCACCCAGTGTCTTTTAAGTTTCGCACTTGTACCCACCAAGTATCTTCTACGTGTCGTTGTAATACCCACAAAGTATCTTCTACGTATCGTTCTAGCACCCACCAAGTGTCTCCTAAATGGTGTACTGGTACCCACCAAGTGTCGTTTACGTGTCGCACGTGTACCCACCAAGTGTCGTCTACGTGTCGCACGTGTACCCACCAAGTGTCTTTCAAGTGTCGCACTTGTACCCACCAAGTGTCTTCTACGTGTCGCTCTAGCATACACAAAGTGTCTTCTACGTGTCGCACGAGTACCTATTAAGTGTCTTTTAAGTGTCCTACTTGTACCCGCCAAGTGTCTTCTACGTGTCGTTGTAGTACCCATCGAGTATCTTCTAGGTATCTGTCTAGCAGCGACCAAGTGTCGCCTACGTTTTGCACTTGTACCCACAAAGTATCGTTGATGTGTCGCTATAGCATCCACCAAGTGTCTCCTACATTTGGCTCTTATATCCGCTAAGTGTCTCCTACGTGTCGCTCTAGCACCCACAGTGTCTTCTACGTGTCACACGTGTATCAACCTAGCCCTGACGGATCCAAAGTACGGTAGAGTACGGTAATGTACGGCAAATTTACGGTAGGGTACGGTAGAGTACAGTACGTACAGTGATTTACCGTAATACAGTATGACACCGTAAATTACGGAGATTGTATGGCAAAGTACCGTGATTATACAGTAATTTACCGTTATTGTACGGTAAGATACCGTGATTGTACGGTAAAATACCGTAATTGTTAGTAAAATACTCTAATTATCCGGTAAATAAAGTACTGTTTTTGTACGCTAAGGTACCATAATTGTACGGTAATTTACCGTAATTGTACGGTAACTTATCGCTAAAATTAGGTATATTTGACGGTAGGTTACTATTGGAATACGGTAGTGCGGAAAGTTCAGAAGTATATATTCTACCGTATTTTCACCGTACACTACCGTAGTTGTACCGTAATTTTACCGTTCTATACCGTATTTTCACCGTTCTTTACCGTACGTGACGGTGTTTTACGGTTTCTACCGTGCAAGTAGAATGCTACTGTAATCTACGGTGACCATACGGTATATCGACCGTATTTTTACCGCATAATACCGTAATTTTACGGTATTTCAGATCCGCCAGGGAGTGTCTTTTTAGTGTCGCTTTAGTACTCACCAACTGTTTCCTACGTGTCGCCCTTGTACACACCAAGTGTCTCCTACTTGTCATTTGAGCGCCTACCGAGTCTCCAACATGGGGCACTTGTATACCCACCGAGTGTCTCCTATGTGTCGCCATAGTATCCACAAAGTGTCCTCTACGTGTCACTGTTGCACCCACAAAGTATCTCTTACGTATCGCAAAAAAAATATATTGATAAAATATCCAACGTTATGCTAAGTGTTCTTTATTCGATTTATTCAACCAAAATTATTTAACATAAAATATTTTTATAAAATAGATATCTACTTTCAGTAATTTATTAAAATTTCGTCGAAATTTTTGACGGTGGGAAATGTCTTCATCAGTTCGGAAAAAAAATCTTCAGCCAACAAATTTTTTTAAAATAATTTTGATGTCTTTGTTATGTCCAAGGGCGTTTTTAGGGCGGTAGCGTAAACGGTGGAGGTTTGGACTAACAGTTTAAAGAATACACAACGGAGGTTTTAATTCCGTTGTTTAATTATTTTTGTGGGACGTTTTCGATGTACGAATTTACCACGCCTTCGTTTGAGACTGCTTACGGATTTTAATAAGAATAGATGTACTTACTCTTGGCAGGATTTTTCAGTTATTACCGGATCCGTGATTCCGGGGCTGCTGTTAGCGCCTTTTCCTGGATTGGGCCCTCTGGTTGGTCCTTGCAGCGGATGGATTAGGATGGAATTGGGCTGCTTATTCTTGGTGAAATGAACTGATTAAAACTGATTTCACTTTTATTTAGATTTATTGAATTAACACCAAAACTTTTACACTTTTACAAATTTTATTTTGACGTAATTTAATTTAATGAATTTTATTAATTTGATTGAGCTAACGTCCTCCAGTCCCCCGTAAGGTAAAGTGCGCAAAACTAGCTAAAAAAAAATGAATTTTGAATAA